GAGCGGTTCTGTCTGGTTCAGCGTGCGGCAGGGGTAAGTTGTGCCCCAGAAGTGCATTTCCAGTATAAAAGTGAAATGCCTCTGGTGTTGGGAGTTGTTTGGGTGTGAGGGGCTCCGACCTCTGCTCTTTGGGGGGGTTGAAGAAATCTCCGGGGCAAAGCTACTTGTGTCAAAGTGCTGGTGATTGACAAGACAAATTTTGCGCAGTCATTCTAGCCAAGCCTTTTTTTTTTATCTTTCTGATATTTTAAAGCATTATTTTAAAACATTATTTGGATAAGAAATGTAAACACAACTGTTTGCCTCAGTTGGTATTTATTAGATGAGAATATTTCTTGTCCTGGGTGGATTTTCATGAAAATACTTTGTTCAGCACTGTACAAGGATGCCATTTAAAATTGACTGAATAATCAAATAATGTCCTGCTGTAGTAGGCCGATAAACTGAATGGATATTCTTTTCCACTTGATAACAATTAAAAAAGCAAGGAAGTTAATATTTTTGTAGCACAATACAGCATGTTTGTGACGGTTCCATGAGCTGTTGCAGCTTCTTTCTTGATGGGTCTACTCCCACATAGAAAGCATCAAGAGAAAAATGAGAGAATCTTGTTTTGATTAAATGTTCCTTATGTCAGGCACGTGTGTCCTCCCGCCTTTGCGGGGACAGGAGAGGCGCTGCTTGTCAGGACTCGGGAAAGGAAGGAAACGGGCAACGGTTTCAGCCGCTCTGCACTGACATTACCGTAGAGCTTTAATCGCAAAGAACTGGGGGCTGTCCGCTGCCCCCACTGCCTCCAGAGAATAGTTGCAGGAGGGGAACATCTCTAAAGTAATGCTTTTACACACAGTGGGAGGATGAGGAGAGGTTTTGCACTTCCCCACCAGCGCTGAATTGTGCTTCTGTATCACCGGTGTGCCCGTGCGGCGGGGCAGCCGCTCTCCCTTCCCCCGGCTGGGGCTGCGCGCTCCTCGCAACGCGCCGTGGGACCTTATCCTCCGGCCGAGGACAAGCCCCGGCACCTCCTCGCGAGGAGCTCAGCGGCATGCAGGAGAGCAGCGCTGCACACAGCTGTCTGCATGTGTGGCGGGTGCAGGGGCCTCATCCCATCCCCATCCCCATCCCCATCCCCATCCCATCCCAGTTTTGACCAGGGTCATCGCGCCGATGTCCGTAAAGATCCATCTTAGGACTTCCCTGCAAAATCAGCAGCAGATCCCCGACCAGTCCCTGAGTGCCCCGGTGACATGAGGAAGGGAAGCGGTGTCTCGGTGTGGGAGGGAGAGCCGAAGGGCGTTGCTCGATGGCGGAGGCTGTCCCTGCTGACTTTCTGGGAAGGGACTGATGGCCGCCCCGAAAGGTGCAGCTGCTTTTCCTGTTCCGTACTTAATTTTGCCGTGGTCTGGGGACAGCTGTTTGACAGATCAGTTTTCATTTGAACATCGCGTGCCGAAGGAGGCTTCTGCTGCACTCGTTTCCGGGGGGTGCCAGTGGGTGCGCAGGAGGGAGGGCGCTGCCCGAAC